GCCCCCTATGACCCCGGGCCCTTGGGCAGTGCCCGAGTTTCCAAATGGTCAGTCTGCCCCTGCCCATAACATATCAAAAATATACGGTGTCCCCTTCACTCAGATAATACAAAATCCCCAAAAAAACACTTTAACCCCAAAAAGTGTAATATTCTTAATAACTAACTTTGTAGCTCAGTTGGCTAACCAAATCTGAAAGGGTTTTTTATGGTCCCCCAAAGTAAATATGGGCAAAATCGTTGGAGCCATGGACAGTGCCCGAGGCTTGGCCAAATGAAGCTCACAGTTAGGCTAAATCCAAATAGACGAACCCATACAAAAAAACACACGTTTCATATAGGCAAAAAGTGAACAACCGCTATCAGTGAAGCCCCTGTGTGTACAGCCCTTTTCACTTCAAGCCTGCCCCCTAAATACACAGGTGCTCAAAAAGGATGTATTCCACCAAAGGAGGCACATTTAAACACCAATCCCATGCTGCTGCAAACGATGCCGTACACTGGAAAATTAGGTTCACCTCTGCCGTAGTCTTTTCTTCAGACTAAAAGGTACCTTGCTGCCGGCAAGCAGGGGATCCTGTACTGACCGCCTCCTAAAACATCTCAGGACCTCTGTTGTAGCTCAGTTTGCTAACTTCAGATAAAATGAAAGGGTATTTTTTTTTTTTTTCAGTTGGCTCGTTTGGGGTTTTTTTTTTCAAGGGGCATCGTTTGGAGCATGGAGAGTTGGCTAACCAAATGGCTAACTGAGCTACAAAGTTAGGCTAAATCCAAATACCCATGTGTTTCATATAGGAAGTGCTACTCTGAAGAGCTGTGTGTACAGCAAACCTTTGTGCAGCTTCAAGCCTGCTTTCTAAACTACAGAGGTGCTGAGAGGAGGAGTTTCAGGAGGCGGAGTCAGTACAGGATCCCCTGCTTGCAGGCAGCAACGTACCTTGGGACATGTAGTCTGTAGAAAAGGAAACGGCAGAGGTGAACCTACAAGACATGCAGGAAGTTGTGGAAAGAGATGACAAGCTGAACTCATAACATGAAAGGGTTTTTTTTTTTTCAAGTGGGCATCGTTTGGAGCATGGAGATTGCTGTTTAGAGAGGAGTGTATCTATGTGGCTGTGAAGATCCCTTTGGTGGAGCATATTATATGACATCACCCTGCCTTGATGATTACAAGCCCTGTGGTTTATTTTATTTGGTAAGGGTATCTAATCTGCAGACTATAGAAGTGGACACAGTTTTTCACAGTTTTGCTATTGAATTGATTTTTTCACGAGATTGTTTCACTGGCACGTTTTACACGGTTGTTCACTTTTTGCACTATTAGTGATCACGTGTGTTTTTTTGCGTGCGAATCACATTCGTCTATGTAGTGGATTGTATTCAAGTTGGTAAGGATAATGCACTATATGTGAGTTTTCTTTCTTTTTGAGATTTTTGGTCTCAGAAGTCACTTTGGAAGCTGTTTTCAACATGGAGGTTTTTTCTTTGAACATTATAAATGACTTTGATTTTTGAGCGACTATATTTACTTTGGAGGACATTTTTCATATTATTTATTTCAGATATTGGGATTTGAATATTTTTGTGATAATTGATTATTTTTAACCCCATAACATGTCTTTAGAAGTCTACTAAAGTCTGCTAACATATTGTTTAAGTGACAGTTAGAGCTCCCATTAGGATCTGTGTTTATCCTCCCCAAACTTGAGTAATATGTTAACAAGCAGTGAATCAAGTCTAGTGCTGCAGTAATATTATCTGAAAAAACGCGTATTTATGTGATTTCTATTATTATTATTGCAGCAGCGCTTTACTTGATTCCTTACTTATTATTTCAATATTTGTGGGAACACACATGAGTGTATTAGCAGCAGCTGTCTTCTTACTATTTATTATTATTACTTTCTTTATTTGTTTCTGGCTTAATTTACATTACATTACATTTATATTTCCATGTAGGGTAAGAACTTTATTATTCACTTGAGACCTTCATTTACTGACAATATCTTTGTAAGCGCAGGAGATGTACACTTTCCATGTTGAGCTTTATGTTATGAAAAAAGCTGCTTGACACCTGCTGAATGTCTTGGAAAAGCTTGATATACACACTGCCCTTTGACACCCACACCCTTGTAAAAAAGCAAGGCCAGGACAAGGGTGGAGCAAAGGGGCACGTGTCCATGCACAGTGGCTGTATGTAGAGAAGGGGGCATGCTGGGATTTCCATCTGCTCCCTTCAGGGGGAGGAGGGGAAGCTCTGGTCTGTGAAAAATGGGAGAGAGGGGTAGCTCTGTTCTGTGAAAAAGGGGGGAGAGGGGTAGCTCTGCACTGGGGAGTTGAGCTGTGTAGTGGGAAAAGGGGAGGGGGGGGTCAGGGTTGAAGGAAAGACTCTGTAATGAGGGTGGAGGAGGAGCTTTGCAGTGGTATTTCTTCCAGTGGTACCACTGAGACAGAGGCATTTTCTAATTCCACTGACATCTCTCCGATGCAGGGACATTTCAGTGACACCACAGATGCAGGTACACTTTTCCTTTCAGTGACACCACTGATGCAGGTCTTTTTTTTTCTTTTCAGTGACACCACCAGCACAGGAACATTTTTTCCTTTCAGTGACATCCCCAATGCAGGAACATGTGTTTCCTTTCAGTGACACCACTGATGTAGGAGTATTCTTACTCTTCAGTAATACCACCAATGCAGGGACATTTTTTCCTTTCAGTGACACCACAGATGCAGGGCATTTTTTCTTTTCAGTGACACAACCAGCATGGGGACATTTTAACTTCCATAAACACAACTGACTTAGGGACATTTTTTCATTTCAGTGACTCCACCGACGCAGGGACCTTTGTTCATTTCAGTTACATCACCAATCTAGGGACATTTTTTCTTTCAGTAACACCACAGATACAAGGCATTTTTTTCTTTTCAGTGACACAACCAACATGGGGACATTATTCTTTACAGAGGCCCCACTGACTTAAGTACATTTTTTCATTTCAGTGACACCACCGACACAGGGACCTTTGTTCATTTTAGGTACATAACCAACACAGGGACATTTTTTCCTTTCAGTACACCACTAATTCAGGGAAATTTTCATTTCAGTGACACCACTGACATTTTTCCTTTCAGGGACATCTTTTTATTTGCCACTGGATGGGTGGGGGGTTGATAGGCAGTAAGGGGGCAGAGAAGAGTTTCCTGTCTTTGTCATGGGCACTGGTTGACCTTCTCCTAAACAAGACCTTGTCCTTAAAATATCAGCTTAGTTTGATACAATACAGAAAACAAGTATCTTATTTTTGATTGTTAATTTTACTTCTTTGTTTCTAGGAGTGTAGATAAATGGGTTTAATGAGGGTGCAATCACGGTATACATCAACACAACCATGGTATCTTGTGCTGAGTCATAATGAGACTTAGGTCTAAAACATACAATTATTCCAGGGATGTGAAATATTGCAATCACTATCAAGTGAGAGGCACAGGTTGAAAATGCTTTCTTCCTCCTAGAACTGAACCTATTACCTTGTAATATATTGAGATGATTCGTATGGAAGAGGGAAGTGTTAATATTAGTGAGCTGATCATGATACAACCAACAGAGATAAATAGTGTCAACTCATTGATTCAGGTGTCTTGACACTACAGCTTAAGCAATGATGGGACTTCACAGGAAAACTATTACTCTGATTTGATCTACAAAATGGCAAAGAAAACGTAAGAACTGTGTGTAATACTGAATTGATTGCCCTAATGCACCATGATCCAATGATGTGCTTAATGCAAGATCCTTGTTTGTTTATTATAACTGTATATAACAGGGGTCGACAAATGGCGTTTTATATTGATCGAATGACATGACAGCCAACATATAGCACTCAGTTCCTGCCAGAAGTAGGAAATAATATACTTGGATGACACAACCATATAAAGAAATGGATTAATAGTTTGACAAGAAGTTGAACACATCGAGGGGAAGTAAATGTCACATAAAATATTTCCAAAAAGGAGAAATTGGCCAGGAAAAAGTACATTGGGGTGTGCACATTAGCAATTAAAGTATACGTTAGGATTATACACACATTTCCAGCCATTGTTATGACATAAATGAAAAGGAACAGTAGAAAGAGCAAAAATTGACCTTCGTTTAAAATGGAAAACCCAGAAGGGAGAATTCTGTAGCCACAGTGTTATTTGCAGTTATTTTATATTTCTAGAAAAGACAAAAGTAGTAACTGATAACTTATTTTCTATAGCATTCTGTTGGAAAATCGGCCAGTAAATGCTTTATAGCAGTTTCACAAAATCTAGTTTGCTATATAAAAATGATTTTTCAGCCCTGTGGGTACACAGTTAAACAATTTTGTGCTCTATTTTTAAATTGGGGACTTTGAGTTAAACATCCATTTGTTAGAGGCTGGTACCTGGTTGTGAGTTGTCTGAGGCATATGCCTTAGAAGACCTGCACCTGAGTTGTTCCTAGAATCCCCAATGATGGTGACCACAGTGTCTTGGAAGACCTGCATCAGAATTGTTCCTAGAATGCCCAATGATGGTGACTACAGTTTCTTGGAAGATCTGCATCTGAATTGTTCCTAGAATTCACAATGATGGCGAACAGACTGTCTTGGAAGACCTGCATCTGAATTTTTCCTAGAATCCCCAATGATGGGGACAAGAGAGTTTTAAGAGTCCTGCATCTGAACTGTTCCCAGAATCCCTAACAAGGGGGACCAGAGAGTCTAGGAAGACCTGCATCTGAATTGTTCCTAAAATCTGCAATGATGGCGACCAGAGTGTCTTGGAAGACCTACATCTGAATTGTTCCTAGAATTTGCATAGACGGGCATTAGTAACAATGGGGCGAGTACAACAAAAGTGTTGGAGTTGAGCTTTAAATTTCAGTCATTAAATATGTTGCTTAGTCAAAACTGACGTGCTTTATATGGGGCTTCTCAAACCAACATGACATAACCAGGGGCAGACTGACAACTCATGGGGCCCCCGGGCAATAGGGGATCATGGGGCCCTTGTGTCCTTGCACAAACTCAAAAAAGCCTATGAAAAAGGTACCAGGGGCATCTCATGGGGCCCCCTACTGACCCCGGGCCCTCGGGCAGTGCCCAAGCTTCCAAATGGTCAGTCCACCCCTGGACATAATAATGCTATGTCACTGAAGTACCAAGTGCTTTGAAGACAAAAAAAAAACACTTGATGGTACAATTTCTGTTAAAAAAAATAAAATGGGATGTTATATTATAGACATGGTGTAAGAACATGCTTTCCTCCACAATTACCCTCTAGTTAGGTACTGAGGGTGAATTACAATATGGGGTTGATTTACCAAAACAGCTCTACATAGAAACCAGTCAGCTTCTGGGCTTTTTTTTTTCAAAAGTTAATTAAACATGCTGAAGTTAGACATGATTGGCTACCATGCCCAGCTGCACCAGATTTTGCACATTCCAGTTTTAGTAAATCAACGCCTACGTGTTTTCAAGGGCAACCGCTCAGCACGGGACCTGGAACCAAGTTGAGATCTCTGGAGTAGCAGCATCTACTTCAGTGATTTCCAACTTCCAGGCCATTAGCTTGGTGCCATGTATGTATAGTTACTTAGGCCCAAGCTAGACCAATGTAACTATGTATAAATAATCCATACCTTGAATTCTTTGAAATGCAAATAACATTCCATATCCATCTAAGACTACCTTCTCCACAGGGTGAAAATTCTGCTGTGCGATTTCACTGCATAACAAACAGCACTGTCAACCCGTTAAAGCAAATGGATCTACTGGCAGAATTAAAAGGTAATAAAACCATGTTTTAGGGGAACTTAGAAGCACAAACACTGATGTGTTAATATTACTGATAGCCTGCAACATATATCTCATTTTTTTATTTGTGAGTTCCAATTTTAAGTCAGGGACCCAGCGGTGGTGTGCTAATGTCCACAAAGGCCAATTACACTTTTCAAACTATCGTCCTGAACATGACAGTTTCATTATTATTCTAGAATTTGAAAGCAAATACCTGACTGGTTACTAAAAACAATTGCTTATGTGTCTGGAAGAAAAGGGCTAAAAAAAAAAAAAAGTTACTAGAATCATTAAAACATTATTTGCTAGTTGAAGTTAACATAGACAGGGATATCCAATTCCTATCGCCTGACGCCTAGGACATGTAGTTCCAGGCGCTGGGCAGGTAGTTTTTTTTTGCCTTTAGCCCTGCTGCAGGCAAGCAGCAAGGCTCACCTGTCAGGTGGAAGCAATCGGGCAGATTGCTTCCACACAGCCCACAGTGTCAGCCTCCCCCCCCCCCCCCGCTATATGTTCCGTGCTCTGCTTGCCCATCTGTGGGCCTGAGACTGGTTCGGTGGGTGCCGCAGGAGGTGGTATAGGGGAGGGAGAAGGAGAGTGGACACATCCGCTCCCCTCCCCTTCTCCTGATCCGGACATGATGTGACGTCACTTCCGGGTCCCCGTTTGACAGATTCCCGGTCATTGATGCTGGGAAAGAATGTAATGCGGTGCGATGTGCACTGCATTATATTCAGTGTAGTACAGGGGAGACTTGCATGTCTCAAAAAAGAGAACCTGTCACCAAAAAATCATAAATCATGTTAAATGGAAGTTATACCCAAGCATATAACACCCCCAAATTTTTCAAAGCCCCCCCACCCCCACATATGTACGCACACACAAATGTAAAAGCACATACTCTGGGCGCCTGCACATGAAACCGTCGATTGTGATACACATGTTACATATCACTGCACGTACCAGAATGAGAGCAATAATTCTAGCACCAGACCTCCTCCATACACTATACTGATGACCTATAAGGGGCTTTAAAAGTGTCACCTATAGAAAATATTGGGTACTAAAGTTTGTTGCCGTTTCACGAGCGCACACAAATTTAAGGTTTGACATGTTGGATATCTATTTACTTGCTGCAACTTCGTCTTTTATATTTTACAAAAAAATTGGATAATTTATAGCTTTTTGTACCATAAATTAACTTAAGTGTATTTTTTACTGAAATTTTGTGTTTCCTAGACCTTTGTGATAATATCGTGTGACATAAGAAATTAGAACTACCGCTATTTTAGTCTCTGATTTCAGAAAATATACAATGTTTGGGGGGTTTGTGTCATCTTCAGGCCTAAATCGATTTTTTAAATGTGTGAAAATTATGCAAAAACAGCTCTGGTAGCAAAATGGATAAAGGATAAGTCCGACACTCCCCTTTCCTGATGAGCACCCAATAGGTGCTCATTACACTGCAAAGTCTCTCCCCTCCCTGCTAGTCCCCGGGTGCCATGCTGGAGGCAGGCAGGGAGGGGAGGTGGAGATAAACATGGCAATGTTAAAAATATTAAATGTTTAAGTTGCCATAAAGCCCCTTTTGTTTTTAAAAACCCCAGACATTACTTAAAGCAGATTTAAATACAGTTTTGGTTAAAATGTATGTTTTTTTTTATCAGGACAAGTAGATTGGGACACTGATTTAGTCCCTGGACAAGTAGTTTTTTAATGAGACAGGTGTAATTATTGAACATTGCTGAACTCCTGAAGTATAGTTAAACCCTTCTTCTTTCCCTTGTTTTGTCTTGTGGGGGGATGTTTTGCAATCCTTTTGGCATATTACCAGTGGGATTGGCTTCTGCTGTTGCCTTATTGTAACAGTCCAAACTTTGTACCTTTTGCTCCTGAAGAAACGAAATACACAAAACATGACAAACCCTATGTGAATGTATGGTGGCAAATAGACACCAAACATTCCATGTCTTAAAATTGCGTGTGTCTGCGATATCGCCAAAAACTATGGTGCCCAAAAATCACCATAGGTGATGCTTTAAAAGCGTTTACAGCTCATCGGTTTAGAGTGAACTTCGAGCTCTTGTGCTAGTACTCTGACGTCTACGGCGATATGTGTGGTGTGACTGCGGTTTCAATACGTGTGCACACCCTGGGCTTCCGTTTGCATTTGCACAGGTGTGTGGGGCTTGGGGGGTTATGGCAATTTTAATATATTTTATTACAATTTTTTTTTTACTTTTTCCTTTTTGCTTGATTGCTATCACAAGGGTTTAATAAACCTCTATGTGATAGCATTGTGCAGGTAATGGGTGCTCTTTATGGAGATATTAGGGGTCTAATAGAACCCAATGTCTCTCCTGCCCTTCACGCCATCTAACCAAGCACAGATCAGCTTGGTTAGATGTGTCCCCTGGCTGTACTGGCCAGTGAAGGGTGCATCTGAATCTGGAAGTGACATCACATCTGGTTTCACTGCTTGCATGTGAGATTGAGGCATGGATTTCATTCTGTCTCACATCTCTCTTTCTCCCCTAGCCAGCAGTTGCGTTCCTGGGCGGAGATCCCGGGAACGGCGCGAGGAGGGGGACCGCTGGCAGGAGGGAGGAGGAACCGTGCTGCTGGCTCCATGAAAGTGATTAGCAGCTATGGAGCTGCCGCATTCTTTAACATTCCAGACAGCTGCGTCAGGCAAATTACTGTGAGAATGAGGCCTTAGGCAACCGCCTAATTTTCCTAATTATAGAGCCGCCTTTGATATACAAAGAAAACTCGTGGATTTCTGTAACTAAAAGGCAGTCTTCTTCCACTCACTGGCTTGTGTACAATTTTTGGGCAATTTTGAGGCATTTTGCCGAGGCATCCCTGAAGAAACCCGAAGGCACCCTGGTTAAAAAAAAGCTGATTTAAAGGGTGCAAATTATGTTATGTGTATCATTATTTTTAATTATGAAATTATATATCTCTGTAACAAAACTAACATAGTTAAATCTGTATAGATAGAGCTTAATTTATCCTATACCAACTTGATGCAGGCTTTCCCTGATAACCTGAAGATAGACATTTCTGGTCTCAGGGTGCCTCTTGGTGGCCAAGATGAAGTGGTGCTTGTCCCAACAAACAGACCATCGATAAATTGATCCACCAATGATAAGTAAGTAAACAACACTAGCTACACCCTCTGGGCAGATTTCCAAGAGCTGTATTGTTTTAATTTAATATTTATAGCAAGCTCAGGGAAACAGAGGGGGGACCCATCATCTGACACACACTCATCATCTGGAAGAGACACCTTATCATCTGACACACACTTCATTGAAGCCAGGACACATATCTCGCACACTTCCATTGAAGCCAGGGACACATATATCTCTAGCATAGGTAGACATCATTTTGAGGAGACAAACTCCACCCATTGATTGGCAGCAATCTTTAAGAGTTTGTTCTTCAGTCATTTTAAATCCTTCCTGTTTTACCCAGCAATCCCTTACATCCACTTTTGGAGGGTAGCTATAGTTTCCATTTTTCTTGTTGATTTTATTATGTTTGCAATACTTTTATGCTGGCTGATTTGCTCTCCCATGAGATACCCTAACACCCCAAGATTTGGTCATTTTATTTGCCATATTGGCATAATTTTAGAAAGATTACACCCTTTGATTCAGCTGCAGTGGATCAAAGGATATAGTTGTCAAATGCAGATTATTGTCTGCCAAATGTAATAAAATCAGTTAGGGTACTGGTATCCCTCGCTTAACGACCTACCCATTTAACAAATTTTTGCCCTTAAGACCTTTTTTTCAGCTTGGACTTACGACCTGACCTTGGACTTACGACCTGATTCAATTTCCTTTTCTCGGACTTACGACCCACTGTTTGGACTTGCAACCCTGCTGGGGGACTTACGACAGAGAAACTGAGCGGAAGTGTCGCCTTTGTTGGATTTTCTTGTGAAGCGGCAGTGCGGCCTATGGTGGCTTGTTTGTGGCCTAGGGTGTCTTTTCCGGCCTATGGTGGCTTCTGTGCAGTCTATGGTCACTTCTTTAGTGGCTTTTTCTACTCCACAAATTCCACAGATTTCTTGGTGAGTACTGTAATGTCTTCAGTATGTACTGTACTGTGTGGACAGTACTGTAAAGTATGTGCTTGGTGTTGCCTGCCATTCTTAGCCACCCTAGGCATTGCTGTTTCTCTGATGTTCATCCCAGGTGGTACCATACTTGCAAATAAAAGCAAAGTCATCAAGTTGGAGTTTCCTTTATCCATTTCTTTGTTCTGCATATTGTAATATACATACTAAATACAGTTGCTTGTATAACGAGCAAACTCACTTAACAACTCCCAGAACGTTAAGCAAGGGATATCTGTATCAAAGGAGGGGGAACTAATTGTTTGATCTAATATAGGGTGCGTAGGTGTTAGGAGATAAATTCATTGCAAAAGCTTGTCTGTTCAAATCCTATTCTGACTGTTATTTATGATGTTTGTAAAGTGATTTCAGTAAATTAAATTATATAGTCTGCAGTCCATACTTACACCCAATTTAATTGTGTTTAAACAAAGAATTTCTGTATTGGACAAAGTATCTCGGGAATAACTAATTAGCCAGCTTAATTTTTTTTTAATAAATAATTTTTTTTATTGGAGGCACTTTTGTTCATTAAGCACTATCGGTCGATATAGCTGACTAAACTAATCATTCAAACATTCTCAGACAAGGTAATACTACTTATCAGAGGTAATAATTGTTCATTATCGCCAATTTTTCCTGTAGATACCACAGTCAAAACAAGAGTAAAATAGTCTGTTTACCAGGGCTGAAATGCACACGCATCTGGTTTGATCATCTGCCAAGTCATGGGAAACAGGAAGGACTCCTTGGAAAAAGGCATCTATAGCTATGTTTATTGTTAATTTATTGTTACATTTTTTCGACATTATTACATTTGTTATCTCTATCTGTCATTACTTAATTAAATGGTATACATAGTTTGATTTTACCTGCAAGTGTTGTGATCGCTTTGCATATCTCAAAAATAAACCCCAAAACAAAAACTATTCCACAACCGTGATAAAACATTTGGAGTCAGAAGTTGGATTTCTGATTTGTGTGATCCAGGGATATTCATGATAGAATGTATAGTGGGGGGATCGTGTTACATTGAAATAAACCCCAAAAACATAAATGATCACATAACCATGATAAAATGATTATACACACATTTCCACCCACTGTAGCAGCACACATGAAAAGAATAAACCCAGAAGGATAAATTCTGTTACTATAGTGTTATTTGCAATTTTTTTTATGTTATAGAAAAAGATTTAAAATTTTACTTGATTAATATGTTTTTTAAGGTGAGGAAAAAAGTGCATTATTTTTTATAGCTTTCTGCCAGAAATTGTTTTTGTTTTTTAAATGTAAACTGGTGGCCTCAAAATCATACAAACAAATTGAAATACAGTTTCTTTCTCAGAGCTGTACTATCTATTTTTCCAAAAATGGAATTTGAAGTGCCACAGGAATACCCTTTATCAGGACTTGATTGCAAACAATGTGAATAGACTAGAAGTGAGCAGGATCTCAGTTTGGCAGACAAACCAGCTACTGACAAAGGCCTGTGCTTGTAATCACACTGGATGAAATAACAATAAAGTTCCAGTCAGGGGCGGACTGACAACTCATGGGGCCCCCGGGCAATAGGGGATCATGGGGCCCCTGTATTCTTGCCCAAATTAAAAAAAGCCTATGAAAAAGGTACCAGGGGCATCTCATGGGGCCCCCTACTGACCCCGGGCCCTCGGGCAGTGCCCGAGTTTCCAAATGGTCAGTCTGCCCCTGGTTCCAGTTCACTTCTAGTCCATTCACATTGTTTGCAATCAAACCCTGACAGAGGGGGTGATTTTGGACCCGCAAACTACGTTGGATACTCTTTGAATTGTCCTTCTGCCTTTTATTGGAAAAAAAGTTGTATCTGGACTTTCTAGCAGTGTTGTGGCACTTTAATTTCTATTTTTATTACATTACACTACAAGCCAAGGAGAATATATTTTAAGATAGCAGTACCATTATGATAATCTTACAGGTCCAGCACTATTTTCCACTTTTCTCAACTATCCAATATTCCATCAGTTCAATCTCCCAGAAATGGTATTTATCTTTTTATGCAAATATTGTATTTATACTGTATCTTGTTTCTTACTTTTATAATATTTGTATTAATTTGAATACATTTTTTATTATTGGCACGGTCTATTGCTTACATTTTACTGACTACCTATAGAACACTAAAAAACTTCAGTAAAATGGTGGTGTCCTGAATTTGCTTACTAGCTGTCTGAGGTGACTGTGAGAGTGGGAGGAAGTGAAATATCAGAAGAAAGTACTTGTGCTCCAATGCTGGAGTGTGCTCCATATACAGACAGTTAGTTCTACCTCTGCTGGATACACACACTGGCGGTTCAGGGTTGGTTCCTGTGGTTATGCAGCGGGGCACCTATGTGTGAAAATGGCAGTTGCACTACTTGTGATAAATGATTACTTACATGATTACTTATGATACGGACAACAATTCTAGGTGGTTAACCTTAAACCTTAAACTGATGATAAGTAAGACATTTTAAAGGTTCACCTATGGAAAATGTGGGTCTTCATTTCACGGGCACATGCTCATCTTTTATATTTCAGGAAAAAAATGGTAATATATTGTATATGTGAGAAATAAAATTAACTTTAGAGTATTTGTTACAGAAATTTTGAGTTTGACAAATTGTTGCACTAATATTGTGAGGCATAAAAAATTTAAACTATGACCATTTTATTCCCCAGGGTCTCTGCTTTCATAAAATATATACTGTTGGGGGATTTATATAATCTTCAGGTCTAAGAGCCAGTGTCACCACAACAGTATAAGACTCCATGTACACTGCAGCTGATAAACTCACATTCAGGAGCTGTTCAGCGTTTTTTTCAGCAGCCCCTGAACTCTCCCTAATGTTTTCCTATATGTCCATGTACACTATGTCGTTTACAGTTGTTTACAGGCAGTTGAGTTTACAGTCGTTTTTTTGGAATGCACCAAACTTGTGTTCAGGAGTAGATTTATCAACATTTCAAACGCCAAACGCTGTAGACGTGGCTAACAGCGTTTGCGTTTGGAACTTTTTTTAACTCTTCCATTTCCAGATGCTGTCCAGAGCCTTTTTCCATCATGAAAAATAGATACAAAGTGTTTCCCGGTACTCAAATGGACCTGGTACACCATACTTTGAGGTTTCGCATGAAAGAAAACATGTTAGACAATGCTGCAATAATTTATGCACAGAAAAGAGCTGGAACACATCCAAACACCACAAAAAAAGAAGACAATTAATCTCAACAAATACTGCTCTCTCTGCTTCTGCTCTCTCTCTTTCTCTCAAAATGTCTGAAATAGTTTAATTTTTTTACTGTTTTCAATGCATTCTTGGCATTATGGAAGGTCTCCTGAGGTTAAAAAAAACGCTTCTAAACAAAAACGCTCATAAACATGCATAAATGCCGTATGCAAACCCTGCTAAACAGACTGTTTTAACCTACATTTTCCAGCAGTCAGTTTCCATCGGTCAGAAGTGTCCCATGTACTGTACATGGAGCCTAAGCCAGCAACAGTGTTTCTGATTACCAACACACTTGTCAGTGTCACCAGACCAGTGCAGGCAGCAACAGTGTTCCTGATTGCCACCACACCAGTTGAGGTTTTGCCAGGCCAATGTAGCCAGCAACAGTTTTCCTGATATCCATCACACAAGTTAGAGTGTTGACAGACCAGTACAAGCCAGCAACAGCTTTCTGATCATCACCACACCAGTACAATGTCAACAGATGAGTGCAGCCAGCAACAGTGTTCCTGATCATCACCACACTAGACCAGTGCAGCCAGAAACAGTGTTCATGATTGCAACCAGGCCAGTCCCAGAATCACCACAGCAGTGTAAGTCAGCAATAGTGTCCCTGATCACAACCACACCAGATCAGTGTAAGCCTGAAACAGTGGTTCTGATCACAGCCAGTTGCAGTTGCCAGTGCAGCCAGCAACAGTGTTTTTGATTGCTGCAAAACCAGACTAGTGCAGCCAGCAACAGTGTTCCTAATCACCACCACACCAGTCCCAGTGTCAAAAGGCCAGTGTAAGCCAACAACAGTGCTCCTGATCATCGCCAAATCAGTCCAAGTGTCTCCACACCAGTGCAGCCAGTAACAGTGTTCCTGAATGCCACCACACTAGTCCCAGTATCTACAGATCAGTGTAAGCCAGCAACCATGTACCTGATTGCCACCACGCAGTCCCAGTGTCACCAGACTAGTGTAAGCCAACCACACTCTTCTTGGTCACTGTGCTATACCTGTCCCAGTGTCGGTAGACCAATATAAGCCAGAAACAGTGCTTCTGATCGTCACCACACCAGTGCCACTGTTACCAGACTCGTGTAATCCAGTAATCGTGTTGGTGATCGCTGACACATCGGTTCCAGTGTCAGCAGACTAATGTAAGCCAGAAACATTGTTTCAAATTACCACCACACCAGTCCCAATGTCATCAGACCAGTGCAGTCAGCATCAGTGTTCCTGATCACTACCACACCAGAGGCAGTGTCACCAGAACAATGAAAGTCGGCAACAGTGGTCTTGATCATCACACCACTAGTGCCAGTGTCACCAGAGTCAGTTCAGCCATTTACAGTGTACCTGATCACTACCACCTCAGTACAGTGTCACCAGTGTCACCAGAAAACCTTTATAAAAACCATAAAGACCCTATTGGAATAGCACCATCTTGTACTTATATGATTTGTATGCATTTATAAACATCAATATATATATATATATATATTTTTTTTTTTTAAATGTACTATATTTTTTTATGTTTAAGTTGTAGACATATGTGTTTTAAAGAGATTGACGTGAGGAGAAGGAGGAGGAAGTGTTTGAGGAGATGGGATACCATAGCGACTGTAAACAAACACTGCCATAAAGGTAGTGAGTGAGCACCCAGCCACGTACCCCTGAGGAAGTCATGTGACGATGGCGATTGACACCCATAACCGGAAGTGACTCGGGAGCAGCAACCCCGCTTTCTTATAATCAATGCCAGTTTTTTTAATGCAAATGTAAGTGCAATTTTATTAAATAAAAATTATTATAAGATTTACTACACTATTTTTTATGTGAGTTCACTACAGGAAGAAATCATAATCTTTTAAAGGGCCATACACCTGTTAATGTGTGCTGATACATAACCTCCAAAGTGTAAAGAAGTAAAGTGCTCCAGGGGAAGCTTTGAGTAGGAGGAAACCACAGCAATCCCCATGTGGTGGAAAAGTGTTGTTGACCTGATATCTGGCAGGTCCACTATTAGAGGTGAACGCATATAGTGAATGCTGGTGGGAATCACTGCAAGAAATAAATAAGAATACCATGGGTAAAAAAGAAGATTTGGAACCATATGAATTGTTTATAACATAGGAGTAAAGAGGAATTGATAATTAATTATTTACTTTATTATTATGTCTTAGATTTTTATTGGTCACAAATGTTGAATTGATTAAGTGTTGAATTAAGAAGGTGCAGCAGTCTTTTACATCTGTAACTTTTGAAAAAAAGAATACATTTTAATTTTATTTCTGCAGTTTCCAAAAACATGTGGCATAAAATGAAATCCTGAAAAGGCTAACCATGTATCTTAAAATAGCAAATTGGGGTGTCTGCTTTCCAAAATGTGGTCATTTTGTGGGTGTTTCTAGTGTCCTGGCACTCCAGGGCCTCCAAACATGATAGGTAGTCAGGAAATTATATGCCTAATTATTGCCCTTTGAAATCCTGAAGGTGATCCTTGGATTTTGGGGCCCTCTATGCAGTTAGACTGCAAAGAAGTCTCACATATGTGGTATCCCCATACTGAAGAGAAAGTGTGTGTTTTGGGTGAAAGTGTGTACATGCTATGTGTAAGAAATATCTTCGTTATTGACAGCTGTGTGTAAAAAAAAGTTAATATTTTTTTCTTAATTTTCCAAAAATGTTTGGCAAAATGTGATCTACAGAAGACTCACCATTCCTCTAAATAAAAAAGATTGAGGGTCTGATTTGCAAAACCTGGTCATTTGATATTTGGCCCCTCTATGTATCTAGGCATCAAAGAAGTCTTATACATGTGTTATCCCCATACTTGGGAGGAATGAAAGAATCTGTTTTAGGGTGTAATTGTAAGCATGCCAATGTTAACATTTGTTTAAAAAAATGAAAAATATTAATTACTTTCTTCATTTTCCAAATAATTGTGGCACAAAATTACATTTTCAAAAACACACCATTCTTCTTACTAAATAATTAGGCGTTTCTGCTTCTAAAAAAAATGGGTCATTATGAGGGCGTTTCTACTGTCCTGGCATTTTATGGCCTCAAGAAATGAGATAAACAGTCAGAACATCAGGGCTGACAAATTTCAATTATACCTGTATACATAGGTGTACGCAGCCTATGGCATTAGGGCTTGCACCCTAAAACTCAAAACACACGTGTTTGTTTGTGTGTGTATATATATATGGGCCCATCACAATGATCTTCCTGCCAACACAGTGAAAGAGAAGTGCGTAAGCACTTCTCTTGTGGTAGAGCCAGTAAGAGGGAGATCTTTCCCATGTTCCTACCGACACACAGAGAGGTAACACTAATGCACATGAGGTGATTAGGGTGTGCCCAGGCACATCCAGCACACCCTGTGAGCACACCTTTGCCTGTATATACCATGTTTTGTAAACTCTCCAACTTTCACACAGACTAAATATGATTCTTTTTTTTTACCCTAAGAAATTTAGTGGAATATATTTTGGCCTAAATTTATGAATTAT